GCAAACGTATTTACTAGTGGAATAATTAGTCATTTGCATTTTAATGGCCATTTTAAGTGCGCCTCTGTGTTCTTAAAAGCTTTATGGGTGCTTTGCGTAATAGTTTTGAAACAAAACAAGTTTTTTTCATTACTTTGAAAATTTAGAAAACATTCTAATTTCTATTTATTATTCCACAATTTAAACATTTATTTAAAAATATTTTGTTGTAATTTTTAAATATTTTTTAATATTTTTATTTCGAATTAATTTTTACTTGATCGAACTCAAGGGCTACTACAATTCGTTACTTTTGTGCTTGAAAAATAAAATTGGCATACTTTTGAGCGGGCAAACCCTGTTAAGTTAACAGAGACGTCTAAAGAGCTGTTGAAAAAACAAACAATTCTCCAACAATTCCATAATTTCCATCCACTCAACGCTAGGTGGCGCCAATAAATGGTGTATAAACTTATGTAAAATATATTTTCTTCATGTAAAATACATTTTACAGATCTGCGAGGTTGGTGCTACCAGACCATAAAAGATATAGCTCATCTTTACAAAAAAAGGAAGAATGGATTGGAATGGAAGAATTATTATTAATATTTTTAAAAAAGGAAGGACAATTAAAAAAAGATCTGCGGACAATTTCGAATTTTTTTTGTGGCCTAATTTTGCAAAACCGACCGGAAATCATGAAGACTAATCGATATGCAATTAGATTCAAAGCACTTATTTCTTCTATTTTAGCTCCTTGATGATAAATAGGATCATAATTTTATTTTAAAATTTGTCAAATTAACCTATTTTATTTTAATGAAATGTTAACCTATTTCAAAGACCAAGATCTTTAGTCGCTAATCTGATTATACACACACAGGTAAATATGCATTTCATATCTAGCCAACCTTATTGTTGCGCTGGCCTGTAACCCAAATAGGCTGAGGTTGTTGACCCAAATTTTGCAAGGTGCATTGAACTGTTTGTAAACTGAAAAGCGGAGCAAAAAACGTCACTAGCGATGCGTAAGCGAAAGAGAGCGAAAAAGAGAGTGGGAGAGTGTTTTTGCATTGTGACTCTTGCGTGTGTGTGTTTGTTTATCTAGTCGTAAAATGGAAATGGCTGGGAAATCTGGAGCTCAATTTTAGCACAGTTATCCGGTTGAAAGGAAACAAAATACATTAATAGAGAAATATTAACTTGGCACATTTTCATTTTAAATAAATAATTCCTTGCATATTTTAATTAAGTCGATTTATAATTTTAAAAACGTTTCATAGTTTTGAATATTATTTATTCTTTTTATTCACTTTTGATGATACGTATTTTTTGAGTTTTCCAACTTCGTTTTCAAAGTCCAATCGAAAAGGAAATGCATTTTCTAGAATTTACCCTGGAAAGACACAACCTAAATACGACGGGATAGTGCCTCCCACCCCAATGCCACCCCCCCTCTCTTCACATTTTTCTCACCCCTCTGCCACACCTCTTGCTCACTCACACAGTCACACACACGCCTAGACAATTTCATGCAACGCTGTGTCGCTGCAGGCGTCTCTGCCGACGTCGACTGCGACTGCAGCCAGTCGTTCAAGTGCATTTCAGAGCATTAACCTTTGTGTCTCCGTGTGCAGTGCTCTCTTTCGGGTCGCTCTCCCTCGAGTTTTCCCTGCTTTTCCTTTTGGTTTTCCAATTTGAAGTGCAGGCAAGTGGAAAACCTCGAAAGCAAAATGAGAATTGAGGTCTCCCGTGATAAAATCTTGGGAATGGCGCAAATATGGGTATTTGGAATTTTCCCCACTGATAAATCCAACCGAAATTTCATATTTTCTGTTTATTTTTGGAGTCTATTTTCCTACCGTCTTTCTTTGATTTTCTTTCTTCGGGATTATCAAGTGCACTTGGTGTTTGTTCATTTTACAAACATTTTCTGATGAGTGCTCTAAAATTGATGCAGGTTAGGGTCTAAGAAAACACAGAGAGAAAAAAAGAAGGGGGAGGGGAAAAGAAAAGTGGGGTAAGGGAACTCATGCGGAATGTGTTTTTATATTATTTTTTTATTTATTTATTTATTTTTGCAAATTAACAAAAATATTTTTCTGTTCTCTGTGATAAACAATTTTTCCTGAGTTTTCCCTCTCTTTGTAAAATGCAACGAGCGATTCCCCAGAGAGTAAAAGAGCGCGGAGCGCGAGAGTCATGCTCTCTTTCTCCTCCTCTGCCGCTCTCCCTCCGCTGCTTTCTTGTGGCCTATGCTGCGTACGCTGCTTCTGTTTCTGCTTTGACATTGAACGAGTTCATTCACATTTGCTGCACGCACACAACTGCAGTGCCACTCACACAGATACTGGCACGAAAAACTACACGAAGCATAAACAACAACTGCCGAAGCGAAATGGGGAAAGAGAAAAAAAGAGAGGCACAATGAGCAGCGAAAAAGAAAGAAAATAACAGAAATAAATAAAATGTATGCAAGAGTGTGTGCGTAAATAAATAAATATGCTAAATAATGTGGAAGGAATAACAAACACGTTAGATAATAGTCCCAGAATCAGAAATAAAAAATAAAGAAATAAAGAAAGCTGACCACAACGAAAAGTCCCCCGGCATTTTATGGAAAATTAACATCTATTTGACTATTTCTCTGCGTCTCCGCTTTGAACGGTCCTTCGCAGTGGTTCCTCAACAAAAAATACAAATAATATCACCTGCCCTCTACAATTTTTAGTTACGAAATCGGGAATTGGGTCATTAAGGCAGCAGGCAACAAATGTGTGAACGGCCGAAACTAGTTGGCTAAGGATAATGGAATGGGTCAAAAGAAATGAGTCATGATAAAAATTTGTGGTAGGTACTTTTAGAGAAGAAATTACTGTTCCACACCATTAATGTTGTTCTTACTTAAGAACCTATAGGTTGTTTCAGAAAATAATCTTACTTACTAAGATAATGAAGAAGATACAAAATGAATTGCTAATTAATTGGATATGGATATTTTTAAATTTAGGCATATTTTATCAATACAGCCCACAACTTGAAATAGCCAAAAATGGTAGACAATAAGTTATTTATAGTACATGTTTGTTGTCAAACCTTTTCCGCCATAATTAATCAGCGTGAAGAACCCTTAAGCGACTCTAAAACTATAAAATACGACCAAGAACAACGAGTTTCGAATAGAGCGAGCTTCAGTTGCCAAGTCTCGAAATGAGTTGGCAGCGAATGAAGTCATTCGTCAAGCTCAAAACGCAAAAAAAGGCATAAAATCCAAGAATCTGTCTCTGAAATAGAGGTCAATAGACAAGACGAAGGTCCACCGAGCAGATCAGGTAGGCAGGCAGTCAAAAATCGTTGCCACAAATGGCCAGGGCGGAAATATCAGCCGAAAACGAGCCACCGCACCACGCGGCGTATGAGCAATGTGCGAAACTCGCTTCCTCGAAGGAGCGAGCGGGACGGGAACAGTGCGTGCGAGCGAGACGGCGACTCTGGGCTAACCTTGAACTTCAAAAAAGCGCGAGGGTAACACAAATTTGTAGGCCTACCTATTCAGTTAGACATATATTTACATTCACATAATAAACATATAAATTAGCACACAACAAAAGAAGTTCCAAGAAACTCGAAAAGCCAAAAAATAAAACGAAAAACTGGTCCAAAGTCAATGAACTTCTGCTTCTTCCTCTGCAGATCGATTCGAGTTTTGGGTGGACAATACAGTGGTCACTGGCAAAATGTCGATACTCAAAGGTTTCAAGGAGTGAATCAGAACTAAAAAAAGTTTCCGATTTGAAATTAAATACTCTTGAAAAGCCTTTTTCTTTAATATGGTTTAGTTGTTTCAAAAAGTTCCAATTTCCGAGTAATCACTGTGCTTATGTTTTTGCAACGTTTGAAATTTCAGACGCGCAGACAGTTTAAATGCAAAAACAAATACAAGGACCGCCAAGGGCCAGACGAAAAGAAAGGGACGGCAGCTGAGAAGAGGGAGCGAGATCGAGAACGAAGCTCGACTGGCTGTTAACCCAATTCAAGGACGTCATTGAGACATTAAACCCGACTCGCTTTCCGAACCTCCGAGTGCCGGCGAATATAAGGGAATAGGGCAAACTACTTTGCCAAGGTTGTGCAGAGTGGATGTGGCGGTGATCGCGTGACACGATACCCTCGTGAGCGCCGAGAAAAGCTCGGGTCGATTAAGATTCCTTCATGCGAGACCCTCATCTATGGGAAGGGAACAATCACTGGAACGATCACTGGGCTCTGTCCAGAGGTTCGGCTCTTTGGGCGAATGAACTTGCATTTTCAATGTCACAGACGACAAAGGGCGGCAACACAGGCTTTAAAAGCAGCAGGAGCCCAGAAAAAACACTGAACAAAATATTAAAAACGAGTTCGGAAGGCAATAAATTTAATGATCTTTTGAAAATAATTTGTATAGATTTATTATTAGAGGTTTATTATCTCACACTCTAAATATAATTGTATATAGACTCTTGACAGGCAAATCGGATATCTATTGAACAAATACCTAATCCTTCAAATCCAATATACAATTACCATCTCATTTTATTGATCCCTAATTTGATTTTCCAGTGCAGACTGAAAAGAATCATCCACAAAGGCGGCATTGAAATTGAAGGTTTCGTTCTGGTTTGGTGGTTGCTTTATTTTATTTTTTGAGTCTCATTTGCTTTGCCCAGGATTGCGTTGTTGTACATTTTGATTTATTTTATTGCGACGCAATTTAATGCAAGGACAATTCGCCAGACGACGACGCAGGTTTTTGTGAAGGGCAAGGAAGGGCCTGTTGCTGGCGGAAAAACAACCCTGCTGGAGTAATTCCTGATCCCTTTATTCCCTGCCAAGGAGGTCAACCGAGTTCAATGTCAGAGCCACGGTTGGTGGTTGGGCATCAAGTTGCACGTGGCGAGCACACTTTTGTGTAGCCACCCCCGCGGCATCGACCACCCCTCTGTTCTCTAAAGGATAAGGCATATGTGGATGCACGAACTTACCTTGCAACCCTCGCAGGAATGCACGCCGTAATGGAAACCGGAGGCCTTGTCCCCGCAAACGCGACACAGCACCGTTGTGCCATCGAATTCTGCAAAGAAAAGATGCCAATTTAAGGATTAATAACCAGAAAATAGTATTAATGGATATTGGTTTAAAGAGGGGTTAGGAAAAAATATATCATAAATTTAAAAAATTGTGTAGGTATTTTTAAAAAATTAAGTTAGGTCATTGAGTAATTAAGTTCGAAAAAAACATCTATCCACTTAAGGTGAAAAACAATCCACCACTTTCATTATCACTTCCATTTCATTATCAAAGTGCCATAAGCGATCAGAAGAAAGTCTCCCCCTTTCTCCATTAGGGGACGCAATGCCAAAGACGAAGAAAGCAGCAAAACGAAATGGGCGAGACAACAAAAAACTTGTTGCTGAACTTGAGCTCGTTCTTGGTCGAAGAAATGTTACGTAACTTTCACCAGGCAGGTAAACAAGAAAGAAAAGGCGACCAAACCAGAAGAAAGTAAACAAGAGAGAGAGGGGGAGCGAGAGAGAGCACAAGAACCCGAGAAAGAGCGCAAGAGAAAGACTTTCTTTTGGGCGGAAACAAGTTCTTGCTGCTCAGTGAAAGACTTTCTTCAAACACGTTTTGTTTTGGTTCTTTCACCGCGTTGAGGAAGCTCCGAAGAAAGTCTTTCTCGCCAGAAGATTCCTCTCTCGCTCTCTCTTGAACTTCCTCTTCTTCAGCAGCATTCAGACGCGCCACGCTTTGTAAACAATTGTAAATGGCAAACAATGTTCATGATCTTCACGCTGCCATGGCCATCATCATAATCATGATCACGACCATCACGATCATGAGCAACTTGTATCTGTATCTGCTTTTTGCTATTTCTGTGCCAGACTCACACACAAGCAGCATCTATATGGTTGCAATGCCGACAAGTTCACTGACATTTCGCACTGCAGATCGTTGCACTTTTGCATTGGACAACAACAACAGCAAAACAGGCTGGGAAGAGAGGAAAGGGGTTTTGCACAGATCTTTCGCACGCCACTGACTGAATTCGCTTCAAGTTTCCCGACTAAAAGATCGCAGTATGCAGATATGTACATACATTAGTGATCAACAATGGGAGTAGTTTAGTGGTGGTCTACTTTTAAATTTAGCTTACTAATTAAGCCGCAAATGAGGAGAGCTTATAAACAAAATTATATGACGAGTTGTATGATCATTGAGGATATTTTCGTTTTATAAGAATTGTATCTTAAATTTTCGTATACCTAATCTAGAAGTAATTAATATTTACATTCTCGAAATCTGAAATCTTATGTTCCCAAAGATAATATATCATTCACTTGCATCACACTCTTAGCCTTCCTTATATGTAGATGTAGATACAAAACTATCTGTAAGACTAGCAGCCATAATTGAAGTTCTTATCAGAGGAGAAAACTAAAAAAAAGTGGAAAAAACAATCACAGCTGGCATGGCTGCTTATTTGAACTTGAAAACAAAAAACATTTACCGAGTTGTCTTTATTTAATAAAATATTATGGTTGCTGCTCGGGATTCCTTTGTGATGTTTTTCGTATTTGTTTTCGGGGAATTTCGTGGCACACATTTAAAAATATTTCATTGGGGGCGTTGAGTGAATAAAGAATGCCACGTTCTGTTCCCATCTCCCTCGGACGCTGTCTCATTTTTTTTCCTAATTCGGAACCCATTCGGAATCGTTTGGCTTACGTCATTGCCATTGTGATTTATATAAATATAGGTTTTTTTTGGCAAGAACTTGCTTTTGTAATAGATTCGCTCATGGATTACCAAATTGTGTTCTATAAACAAAGGCGGCAAGGTCAGTGGAGAGGCCTCTCAGTCTGCCCCCTCCCTATCTCTGTCTCTTTTCTAGCACCTCCGACCCTCTCTTTCTCTTCCCCTATCGCTGTCTCATCGCCTTGGGAACTTGGAGTGAGTGGTTGGCATTCGCTAATCGGCGACACGTGTAATGGCCTGATAAATAAAAATTCTGTTTTTTCGATGTAATAATAATAATATGTGCTTAAAGGTTATAGCTGGTGGTTCTGTGTGATACTTTGGTCAGAACCGAAACTTTATAGTTAGGGGATTAGTTACCAGGCTAGACAATGAATCAGAATGAATGAAAATAATCTTTAAAATTAGGGGAATTTTTTAATGTTTCATATGAAGGTTTTATTTATTTTCTGTTTAAACAATTCTATGTGAGTCAGAACAGAATTTTAGCTTCCAAATGGAATTTCTAAGACATCATTTTAACACTTTTTTACTCTATTTACTAAATAAATAAGAAATACTCTCTAAAAATGTGTTCCAAATAATATTTCCTGCTCTTGCCTGTGAAATTCTAGCTAACCGAATAATCTGGCAGCCAAATCTATGGGAATTATCTAATACGCACTGCTCGCACTCACACATGCAAGCGGAGGCGACCTTGAAAGTTTCATTCACTTCACACGCACACAGCCTGTCGGAAGGGGCGGGGGTTTTGGGGGTGTCTGCGAAGAGGTGGAACTGGCACTATCAGAATACTAGAAATAAGCCAAACAAATGGCAGCTCCCCTCACAAACACACCCCAGAATTACGCACACAATCAAATTTCGACTACTCAAAATATTTATTAATACAAGAGCGAGCGAGAGGGAGGATCGCCGAAGAGAGAGAGGGAGAGATTGCCATATTGGCAATGTTCTGTGTGAGTCAAAAAAAAAAAAGACTACTAAATTAAAATTTGACATTGAAATTTTTGCTGCTCTCCCTCTCGCTCTCTCTCTTTCCCGCTCAATCAATAAAAGTTTAGCGCGTGCAGGAGGGAAAGAGAGGGGGCGAGAGAAGCGTTCTCGCTCTGCCTACAAACTTCAATGCGGAAATGTTCGGACAGGTTTTTCTGTAGCGTTTTTATTTAGCGCCAGTTCAATGTATCGTTTAATCAAGTCAAGAATTAAAAATTTTATTCAGCATTTTCGTCAAGTTCAAAAAACGCAACTGAGGTCAGCGCGAAACGAGGGATACACCTTGTAAAGTGGGCGCGTTTTGAAGTCACCTTCGATCGGAGTTCATTGAATCAACAACTGGTGCCTAAAATTCCGATTATGCAATGGATATTTTTTTGGCGGGAATGGAAATTAATGACCTCTCAATGAAACAGAATTTTTGTACCTCATTTTTTTGGGAAAGGAGGCGAGTGCATTGATCTTCGGGTTTGTTTTGTTTTTCGGGTGCCTTGCACTTTCGGTGGGATCCATTAATTTATTGAACTGCTCGGGGGTTACTGATCGAGGCGTGGGAACGATTACTTTTTGCAATAAATGGGCATGAGTCACGCATATTTTAAAAAATATAATTCTTAAGGGAGAACTTTTTGGATTTATTCTAACACCTAACTTAAAACTTTAACTTTAGAGAAATAGAAACCTCCCAAAAAATATTCCCAGCTCACCCGTCCGAACCAATTAACCAAAAGTAAAAGTGCCCAAAAAATGGACAAACACAGCTTTGGCCACTAATAAATTGCAACAAGAAACACAAAATTTGTTACTTTCGATTTGCCTATGCTTGTTTTCACTTTCAGGTTTTTGGCCGCTTAATAAATTTCTAAAATGCACAAATAATTGTGCCAATAAAAATAAACACGATCGAACACGACGAAAATCAAATGAAATCAAAATAAAATAAAAATGAAAATAAAAATCGAATAGAGTAAACTTTCCAAGTGAGCAAAAGTTCAAGAGCCGCCTACGAAAATCGAAAAGCGCCTGCGAAAAGCGAAGAAAGAAAATAAAATAAAGCAAAAGACAAATAAATTGCGGAGAGCAATGGCAAGGCGAACTTTTCTTTTGGACAATTGTAGCGTTGCAGCTTGACTTTCACCGACATTTCACGGAGGGGTTGGCGGCGGGGGGTGGCTCGGCTCACCTGGAGGAGTCATTAACCCGCTGCTATGTAAAAATGTCAAAGAGGCTTAGACCCGGTTTTCTTTATTTTTATTTTTCTTTATTTTTTGCCCGTAAATTGGCCGCGCATGCGCAGTCGCAGTCGCCTTGGTGAAAAGTGAATTTGGCCAAGTCAAGCTGCAGTTGGCTTTTCACTTTCGTTTGGCGGCAATTGAAATGCGAAACTTGGCAAACGGATGCACATCGACCTGGCCGAAACCAAAGCAGCAAAAAATTCATTTGCGAATGCGAAAAGAAATCCGCCGATCCAACGATCCACCGATCCGCAATCCACGATCCACGGGGGTAGCAATGAACTTGGAAACCGACTTTGTCATCGCCCCATCTCTTTCGCCCAGTTTTTCACTTGGTGAAATGCAATCCCAGCACACAAACGCATAAATAAATATCGGAGCCATGGGGGAAAACACACACTTTGGCAAAGTAAAGCAAATAATGGCAACGGGAGTGGGTGAGAAATGGTCGGGGATTGGAAACTGGAGACATAATCGAGACACATATAAATATTGTTGGGGGTTTCACTTTCGATTTGAGTGTCATGCAGTGGTAAGTGTGAAATGCAATTGATTCAAGAGGTATTTCGGTTTAATCCGTGAGTATGGAGATCGTATAATTCATGGGGGTTTTCCCAATATGAGAGCATTATACCAGTAAATTATTAGGCTTATAAAAAGCTTTTTTATGGGTTACTACATTAATTAAATCACAAAAACCACTCACTATAATATGTATCTTTTATCATATTTATATTTATATTTTTACGCTTTTACATTGGTATAGATGCAGAACATTTTAAAAATCTTGATCCAACCTGTTCCTATTCTTAAGTCCCTGTTTCCGCCCATGATCATATAACCCCAAAACGACACTTTCTGTTGTCCAAGGTTCTCTCGACGGGTTTTATTAAAACCCACAGATTACCCCCCATGCGAGATAAACAAAAAACGACAATCAACCAGTTCCCCCGCTATAGGAAGAACTACCTTGACTCATCGCTTGAACTGCAATTGCCCCGATCCGATCTGATCTGAAGTCTCAAGTCTTTATGCGGACTTGAACCGGTTGCTCATAAGTGCATTAACTTCCTTTAGTCATAAA